GGGGGTGGATTTCCCGCTGAAAATGGCGGTGATTACGGTTGAATTTTGTAAGAAAAGAGCATATAAGAGAGGAGTAGAGGAGAAGTGAAAGGGACAAAAACTTTGGATTACTTAAAGAAATGACGGGTTGTTTTATGAGGTGGGGTAAGGTGGCAGAGGTGGAGAAACAATCTCAAATTAAAATAAGTATAATAATAATAATAATAATAAAATCGGATTTTAGTCGATGAATCTTATAATAAGATATGACTTATAATAAAATCAATAAATAATAATAGACGGTTGGATCAAAATAAATTCTTTTTGACTAAATAATTATGAACAACTTAACAAGTAATCTATCAATCGGATTCGAAATATTTTTCATGTTGGCCATTTGTTTTTTTCCTTTTGAGGATAGAATAGTAAAAGTTTTCACACCTTCATTGATGATTTCGAATTCAAATCTTGAAAATAACGTCATTAGATAAAATTTGAGTTTTATATTTGAATTCCTATTAGTCGGATCATTTGCGGATCCAATACATGCTTCGACATCCGATTTATTTGAATTAAGTATTTTAGTATTTGTTAGATATGAACTCATACTTTTGAATTATAATGAATTTCATATTAAAAATTTTAAAAGTTAAATTCATTAAATTTAAATATAAATTCACTTTTAATCGAATCAGTAAGTTTCAGATTTTGAAAAAATAGAAAAGAAAATGATCTCTCTCTTCGAACTCACTATCGAAATGCACCAATGTTACGTGCTAAGACAAAAACAGGATTTTCTACGATTTTGACTTAAGATTTGACACCTCATTTCATTTGCATTTAACAATTCCACTCCTCTCTATGGTGCGTAACGAAAATTGAAATTACGCATTTCAGACCGGCCATAGTCAAAATTAGGGGCGTACCAAAAGAAATTGACAAATCGTATCAAATCAATAATTCGAGTTAATTTGAAAAAAAAATTGAATATGGTTTGGTTTTGTTTTAACTATAAAAAAAGTCAAATCGAAACCAAACAAACCCAACATTACATGTATACAAGTTTTAAAAATATTTCATACATAAAAATAATTATTATAATGTAATTTATAAATATTTTTTAAACTTTTTCATAGTTCTCTCTTTTAATGTATTTTTCAAATTTGGACTTAGATCTTTTGAATGATCAAATATGTTTTATAACCCATAAAAGTTAGTAATGCAAATAAACCCAAAGTAAAATCAAATCAATACTAATACTAATAAAAAAATTCAATTCAATACAAGGAATGACAATAGCATTGGATATTATTTTTTGTAGTTTTGCATTGGTTTAGAGAGTGAAAATGCATAACACTTTTAATATTATTTAGTCATATAATTAATACTTAGTACTTATTAGTCGTACTTATTTTAGTATGACTTAGTACTTTTAGATTATGTTTATTTTTATTATGGTTTAATAATTAACAATACTTATTTTATGTGATTTGTTGAGTATTTTAGCATAATTATGGCTCATCTCACATTATTTTATTGGATAACATCTTATATGGTTTTATCCTACTAGGACCTAAGAAATATTAGAGCACAGATTATATATTTTATGCTATGAAGATTTTATTGGAAAAAATCTACAAATCCCGAGAAAAAACGAGATTGAAAAACCCGACTTTTATTGGTTTGATTTGGTTTATAGATTTAAAAAATCCAAGACAATTATTTTAGTTTGGTAATTGAAAAACCCGAACCAACCCGGTCTATTATACCCCTAGTCAAAATTAACCGTGTGAGAATATTTTTGGGCAAATTATAGATTTAGCCAGTCGGCCAAAAATAATTATATTCACTAGCTAAATAAGTATATACAAAATATAACATATATATATACATATATATATATATATATATATATATATATATATATATTGCCGGTTATTATTTTCTGTGTAGTTTTCCTAATTCTCTTTCTTTGTCCAATCTTATGGAATTTCACTTGTGGCCACTGGGACAATTGTAAAGTTATTCATCATTGAAATTATCATCATTTTTTGTCTAGAAAAATAGGGATCGGAAATGCATACTTTCCTTTTTGGGATATTAGAAAGAGAGAACTCATTTTTACAATGCCTAAATTTTCGCACTTATTTGGAGAAATAATATCTATCAGAAATTCAAGAAGTGTGATTAATATTTTGTAAGTACTACTCCATCCGGTTCAAAATAAGTAATTTTTTAATTGTTTTTCATGCAGATTAAGAAATTCACTTTTTAACATTAACTAGTTTCTTTGTACGTGCGTTGTATGTGTACCTCGCGCTCATCAATAAATAATTAAATAAATAAATAAAGCATAAATTATTAAAAAAATAATAGTTTACACTAAAACAAATGCAATACTTTTTAATACTAAAAATTAATATTATTACATTAACATAGTAATTGTATTCAATATATCCAAGATATACAAACACGATAAAAACATATAAAAAAAGAAGAATTCTCATATTTATCATGATTGAAGAGAAATCTAATGAGTGTTAACGGTCAAGATCACAAAAAAAAAAA